CCATAGAAATACAGAGCATCACAGCTACTCTATTTTCCTTTTGTACTCATGCTTAACTGTCTGTCTAAAAATTGAAAACAACATAGGAAATGAAACTGCAGACATAGGAAAACAAAGCGAGATTAAGAGTATTGTTCAGGAGTTATAATTTTGTTCTGTTTTTATTAGTGCTAAGTATTATCATCAGAATCTGAAATTAGTGGTAATTTTACAATTGAATGAACATTGGAAAGTATTCTCTTTACTTAGATTCAAACACTAATACCTAAAGCCCCTGGTTTTACTGTACCGGGGTTTGCTTCAGCTGAGATTTCAGTTTGTTAGTATTTAATTAGCTGCATAATTTCTCATTTTCTAACCCGGATCTGAGATGATGTAGCTGAGCCTTTACTGAACTGTCTTGTTTCTAATCTGGCTCCGTTGCAACTGTACTTTTAATGGTGTGAATGCTTCTGAGTTATCAACTTTAGAAGGCCTTAAGGAAAATCCTGTAGGTGTCTATTTTAGAAAATAATTAGTTCAATTCTTTAACTGTCTGCTCAATTTGGAAGAGAAAACAGAAGACGCCATACCCTTCAGCAACTGAGTCTGAGGCCCCTGACTTAAAGGCAAGCAGACCTGAGGAATGCAGTGAACTGTGGTGGGAGAATACACAAGACCAATGTGAACAAACAGCAAAGCAGATGGACAAGGCAAACACCAGACTCAATGTGTAATTCAGTTGCTTCAGTCAAGGCACAAAAAATCATTGTCTGATCAGTGCAGGGTATGTTAGGAAATTTTTGTCAATATTAGGCATTGCAAACAGGAAAGGTACTATAATATTTCCCAAACCAGCAAACCATGGATTTCTGAAAACTTTCGCCACCTAAAACGGACCATTTGCTTCCTGTAGTTGGGGGGGGGGGGGTGATTTTAATCCTTTCCATGCTACGTTATATACTGTATCCATTTATGCTGGAAAAAGATGTAAAAAATTCCTTGTCTTGGGATTTCTTGTGCAAGATGTGAGCACTTCTTCCTTTCCACCATTTCAATATAGAATTTGGGAAAGTAAAGCACAGAAAATCTGCAACTTATCGGTTTGTGCCCACTCTGAAGTAGTCTTGTGGTACAACTCCAACCACTGTAGAGAAAATGATCTGTGCAGAAAATTGTCTTCATTGTTGTTACTACTGGAAGTATGTTTCCAGATGTGTGAATTTAATGTTATCTTCAACACATCCTGGAAGTGCGTATTTGAAAAGGTCAAAAAAATAATAAAAAACATTCTTACCTATCCAGCATAGAAAGAAACTATTAACCATATTATAAGTACAGAGTTACTGTATAAATGACAGGAAGACTGTCAGTCCATCTACTGTAACTTGTTTGGTTGCTAATAGCTAATCGATTCTTGGCTCTCATCCAGCCATTTCTTGAAAGAAGACAGACTTTTGGCTTCAACAGCATGTACTGCAACTGTTCAGTGGTTCTTCTCCTATTAATTTAATTTCTTGCAATAACTAAAAGATTCACATAGTGCTATGACACTATTTTACACTACTCAGTATTTGCTTCAATGGACAATCATTCTTTGAATCTCCTGATGTATGTAATTAAGTACATGCCTTGTTTTATTGTGTATCTAACTGTTGTTGTGGCTTCTAGAAACCCAATTTTTTTCAGCAGGTAATTTTACAAGAAAAACACAAATATTGTTCTCAATATTCAAACCGCTGAAACAGAAAAATGACTGCACTGCACAAGCCCTTACGATTTGCTATTTAAAGAATTAGCTATTCTTGGACTTGCTAAATTAGTCATTCAAAAAGATCAGATCTGGCAGATAATTCATAAAAATGTCTCACCTTTTCCACATCACCATCGTGGCTTTTGTTTGGCCAGTTATGAATTAATTTTAAACGTATCAGAATGTAACAAACCAAAAAGAACAGACACAATGTTTTTATCAACACAAGAGAAGCCTTAGGACAGTCTCAGAAAACACTCTTCCAAGACTTGGAAGACTTCCAAGTTCCAAGTTCCAAGACTTTTTCATTTAACCAGAGCAACAGGTGAGAGCAAAGGGGTATTCTTGGTCAGCTCAGTTTTTACAGTTGAGCACGTTCGTTGCTTTTTTAAGCTCGGTTTGTGTGTGCACATTATTCAGAAGATGGCTGTTAAGGCCCTGTGTAAAAAAGACTTACAGTATATTCTATAGATAACATCTAGGATTATAACTCTTACCTACAATACTTTTATTGTATCTGTTGTTCTCCATTTTTCTGCATATTTTGATTAATCCATGTATTGACTAAGAGAGGATAAGATCCTTTGTTACTACCATTGGTATAATGTACAAGTAATGGTTTCATCATTGACTTGTATAAGACTGGCTCTCTTGAAAGTAAAGACCAGTCAGCACTAGTTGTACAACAGACTCTGTCATAACAATGCTTTGTATAACATGCCTTTCCAGTGAGTTACTTATTACGCACTGATCGCCTCATTACACTTACAGGCCCAGACAAAAGTACTGACACCCTTCATTTGACACAGTGTTCCTCACTAATTCAACTCCACAGTTGAATTGTGGGTTGAATTGTGGGTCTGTGGTCTTTAAGGACTGACATCCGGTGTTTCTAATGCAGAAGTGCCAATACTTCCATGTGAAACTATCGGACGCTATTCCATTGTGGTCCAGTCCATCCCAGTCCTCAACAAAACTGGCAGTCTTCAGCACCACTGCCCTCAGCTATCCTCACCACACTTTATGACCGCTGCACACAGCAGAGGCATGCTGGAGAGATTCTCACACTTCTTAGTTGGAAAGCAATACTCAAGTGGTAGGCGTAATGTTTTTTTTTTATGTCATATGTAAAATCTGAAAAAAAAAATGCTTTAAGGCAATACACAGTACTTTGCAAAAGCATTCACCCCCTTCAAATGATGTTGAATTACACATGATGTACTGTGCACACATTTCAGCAGGTATTTTTAAGAAAAACAGGAATGCTCAAACTGAACACTTTTGTGGATGAAGTTAAAAGTCAGCAAAAAGAAATCACTTATTAAAGATGTTGATTGGATACATAATAACACGTTTGGACAGCAAACCTACATTAGTTCATGTGCACAGAACCTCTTTGACAAGTCACACAATTGGTTGAAAGGCCCGGGCATGTGACTCACGGCAGCACTCATGTTATCACAATCTCAGCACCACCAGTGCGTCATCTTCATGACTCCACGTTTTTGAACAGTCTGTCCTTGTCCTTTGGACAGGCTCTGGGATCACTAACTTTCCCAGCTGATCCTGTCTGGTCCTCCAGGTGCCAACACCTCATATCAGCCCCGGTCCAGCTGGACGAACCCGTTCCTCAGAAGTGCCCTCACTCCCACTGAGCCCTGCTAAAAAACTACCATGCGGCTCACCTGTCCAGCACCTGGATCAGTACAACCTAAGATGTATCATTCTCAAGCTACTGTACCTCGCAGACTGCTGAGACATACAAACCTGTAAACCAGCCCAATCCAGGCCTCTCTCTGGAGTTTTTGTGCTCTCCACTTCTGTTCTGAAGCTTAGGAATCCTTTTCCTCCCAACTGTTCCTATAAGACTCTTTAATTAGCCCAGATGAGTGGCCTATCCTAACAGTGCCATTTCCTTATGAAGCATTTCACACCTTCTGAGTGCCAATTACTAATTCAGACCAGCTTTGCCTCATCGTGCAGGTTGCACTAATGAACCACCAACTTGGCTCAAGGCCCCACCACTGGGCCTGAGTCTTGAGTCAAGAGGGTGGCTTTCGCACAAAGCTTTACACAGTGCAACTAGAGTGGTTCACATGGTTTCAGAATACCCCCGTCTCTGTAAAGTCCCTCAGTCTGGTAGTGATTTCAAGCAGAGATTCAACCACAATGACCAAGGATCTTTCAGCATAATGCAGTCGTACAAGGCACACATCAGGAAGGGTATAAAAAATTCAAAGACACTGAACATCCCCTCGAGCATGGTGAAATCAATCATTACGAAGTGGTTTATTGAAGCACCCAGATACTGCTGAGATCAGGCTGCCCCTCCAAACTGAGCAGCTGGGGCAAGGAGAACGCTGTTTTGGGGCACCGTCATGAAGCCAACTTCAAAAGGGCCACAGCATTCAATGGCGGAGATGGGAGAAAATATCCATGACTCGAAGCTGTATGGCAGAGATGGAAGAAAAAAGCCCTTACTGGGAATTCATTCCTACATGGATTTTGCAAGAAACACTTAGATAATACTGCCAACGCGCAAGCAAAGGCTTTTGGGGTCAAAGCAAACAAAGCCGAAGCAAAACTTTACATCTGGTGCAAGCCTAGGACATCACCCAGTCGTCAACATCCCTGCTGACAGGCATGGTGATGCCAGTGTTATGTTATGGGACTGTTTCTCACCAGCAGGGACTTGGAAGCTTGTCAAGAAGCTGTTCATCCCCAGCTAACTTGACAGAAAATCACAACTTGAGCACGTTGGCAAAAAATAATGGGTCCATCCTGGAGTGCGGAGCTGGTTCTTATCCAAAAAAACAGACAGCTGGAGTTGCTGCCAAAAGTGCTTCCACAAATTATTGACTCAGACGAAGAATACTCTCAACATATTTTATTTGTTCATTTTCTTAGCGGTTTTTGCTGACATGCATTCCCCACCCCCATTAAAATGTTCTGTTTGGGCATGCTAGTTTTGATTCAAAATAATCACTTTAAAAAGTGCATACACAGTACAGCGTGTGTAATTCAACAAAACTGGACATTTCAGAAAGGGCGATTCTAACATTGAAGACAATGGTCAGCCACATCCATAACTGAACGTCCGTCTTTTATAAAGTGTAAAATATCGCTTAAAAATATATTAAAAAAAAACTTGTGTGGGTTATTTTCTTTAGAATTGCCGAGTTTTTCTGTATTCTGATTTCTTTTTTGCACGATGAGATAAGCACCGCTGCGCTGTTTTTTTTTTGTTTTAAAACTTTTTAATTTATTTCATGTAAATAATAATCACGAAAACCAAAGCGTTTTTTATTTTTGCAAGTAAACAGCTTTTCTTCATCTGACCAGCATACAAACTGATTTTTTTTTTTCTTTCCGGAGTCTTCTGGCGTCTGTGTAGAAAACCCAGCTGCAGTTTCCCTGCGCAAGAAGGCCACCGCGCCGGCGATGATGATGTGACTCGCAGGGAATTCTTTCAGAATGGTGTAACTCTTACAAACCAAACCAGAGGTTAACTCGGGGAATTTCTTTCCCACATTCATAATCCCGCTGTCTTTCTGGAAACCCGCTGAGCGGTAAGCGCACGGTGGAAGTTCAAAACCAGCAACGTAATAATAAAAAAAAGGATATCTGGCGACCCAGAGACCGAAAACTGATACTATCTTCTGCGCCGCCTACACAGTGAGCCGGAGTAGTAAGCACTTTTATTCATTAAAAAAAATCGCCAGTGGGCTGCAGGCGTTACCATGACATTGACTGACTCACTACCGCAGACCCGGAGCTGGCGGTAAGCGGAGGCTTCTGCATCCAGACAAAGGTCTTTCAAATAATAGCAGCACGCAAACAGCAAAGGAAAAAAAAAAGAGAGAAAGAGAGGGAGGGGGGGACGACACAAAACAAAGAGCAACATGATCTGCGGGCGAACCCGATCCCTTCCCGTTTCCAGAAACGCTCGGGATTTCGTGCCCGAAAGGAGGCGGACCGGCACCTGCCCGCACGGCGTCTGATGGGAGAAAGCGAAAGTGCTCCATCCCCGGCACGCCAGTTCTCACCCTGCCGGCAGCCGGCTGTGCCACGGGGGCAGGCGGACGCGACCAACACAGGCGAGCCTTGTTGTCGGGGTCCGCTAACACATTAATCCGACCCACTGGAATGCAAACGCCGGAGTGGATGATCTCCGATTATGAGTGCGCGGAAAGGATAACGCGTGGTACAATGCCGCCTGTGTGCGCTCACTCCTTCGCTTTGTTAGAAATCAGGGCTCTCCTCTGCCCAGGGGAATTTCTCGGCAGTCTCTGAGAAGTCTGGCACTCGGGTGTCACTCTGTACTGTATCTCCTGCGCTATGACTTCCTCGCCACAGAAACACCGCCGCTTGCTACAGAGGATGGTCTGTGCGCTGTATGTCACCGTCGTGATTGGGACAAGCGAGCCGGGTACGTCGTATTTTTTTTCCCCCTTAAACTGTACAGATGCGTCTCCTCGGGTGAGCCCTCCTCATACACGGAACGCACTTCATGCCCTCGTAATCAGTTGCAAATAAAAGCCTAACAGCGGCCTGACTCGAAATGTAGCTTGCCTGGAAATGGTCAGGTGAGGGAGCCGTTCATGAAGTCTACTGCCTTGGCAGCTGATACGTTTAATATTGCTAGGTTTTTCAAATGTTGCTGTCTGTGATGTATTTTGTTATGTGCAGAGGTCGCAGCAGCAGCAGCAGTATGAGCACAGGTATAAAAAACCAGGTTGGAGGAAGACAAATCTTCTGTCCTGGTAACTGAAGTGTATGAAGTGAAGCCGAAGTCCAACAGTAGCAGAACTGGAGAGGAATGTTGCCTGAGTTTTTTCACTGCCACGTTATTTTGTATTTATTTGCACTGTTTTGCTTCAAGGTGTTACGTAGTATGAATGGGCAATTGCTCCCTTCTGCACTTTAAACTAACAATCGAGAGTCACTGCAGGTGTGATTAGCTTGCGAAATCGCCGGGACGAGTGTTACCGCCTGAAGAGAGAGGTTGACGAAAATCACAGCCCTACTGTACCTTCCCTTTCTGTGGAACATCTCCGCGGGGAAGAGACGATTATATACTAGCCACGAAAAAACGGCATCCTAGTGTCAGATGATTGCTTTTGAATTATCGCTTGAAATGGCTGGCGACGAATTAGCTCCAGAAATGTTTCCAGTATAGCGGGGTTGTGGATGACGGGAGATTTACAGTAGCTGAGGTGATCCTCAGCATTTGAGCGAATATTCC